AAGAGAATAAATCCACAGAAATGGGAATCTGGTCTCGCGCTCGACCACCAACACGTGGTATCAGAGCCCGGCTCCGGCGTTGAAAGGCAAAATCGTCTCCGGAGAAGATGAGCTCGGGATCAGTATCAACTGGCATATTCATGGCTGATGGTTTTTCGCAAACTTGTCCACCAAGATTCGAAGGTGTGCATTACGACTATTAGAGAAATAGGATGGAGCTCTTCATCTGCTCAACAGATCCGGATTTGTGGGATATAGTGTTGGATGGACCACTGGAAGTAAAGGAAGCACGAGGCAAATGGACAGATACATATAAGAAGAATTTTCAACTCAACTCGAAGGCGACGAATCTGATGTACTGCGCCTTGGGACCAGAGGAATATCACAGAGTAACTGGCTGCAAATCAGCAAAAGAAATCTGGGACAAGCTTCAAATTGCACATGAAGGTACATCCCATGTCAAGATCTCAATGATAAATAGTCTGAAACAAGAATTCGAATCGTTCATTATGAAGCCTGAGGAATCAATTAGAGAAATGAACGAACGATTCACTACCATTGTAAACAGCCTGAGAAACCTAGAGGTGGAGTATGCGAGTGCTGATTTGGTTAGGAAGGTCCTCTGGGCATTACCAAAGAGGTGGACACCTAAGGTAACTGCTATTGAAGAATCCAAGGATCTCACCAAGCTAAGCCTGGACGAGCTCATTGGATCTCTGGTTACGCACGAGGAGAAACTGAGGAGAGAAGAACTGGAAGAACCAAAGAGGGAAAAGAAGGGTATTGCATTCAAAGCTACATCGCAAGAAGAGGAGCTGGAGTGTCTTGAAGAGATGGAAGATGAAAAGCTGGCCATGCTAAGCAAACATGTTGCTAAGCTCCTGAAAATGAGAAGAGAAAAGAAGAGAGGAAACTTTCAAAATCGATCAAGAGAAGGAGACAACGATAGAGAGCCTGGCAAGGGAAATAAACATATGTTTCGGAACAAAAGAGAAGGAGCCAGCACCGATCGATCTCAAAGTCAAGCCGGTTGCTTCAAATGTGGGAAATCAGGGCATATTAAAGCCGATTGCCCCTTAGCCAAAAAGGAGAAAGCCTATGCTACTTGGAGCTGCATCGAGGAGGATGATGATGAGGATGAATCCAGTCAGAGGATCAGTGCATACATGGCAATTGAAGAAAGTGATGATGAGGAATCTCAGGTAAGATCTTACTACTCTGATTCATATTCAGAAGATGATCAACTGGAAGAAACCATAAAAGATATTCGAAAAGAATTCGTGAATGTCAAGCATAAACACGTCTTAATTAAAGTAAAATATGAAGCTTTAGAAACTGAGTTTGAATTATTAAAAATGGAAAAGCTTAGTATAGAAGAACATCTCAGAAAAATGGAAGATGAAAACTTAATGCTGAAGAAACAAAACCAGGAGGTTAACAACAAGTTAACTAGAGTCATTAACAAGACCAAGTTCAGTCGGACTGAAAACTTGCAGTATGGTAAACGTTCTGAGTGCTTTTAATGTCATAAAACAGGTCATTACATTGAACACTGTAATAAAAGAATTAGCAAAGAGAGTAAAGGAAAATCTGAATGCAATCATGGTATAAAATCACATTATAAATCTTTTAGTAGTAATTTCCAACCCTGAAGAGTATCTAAACTGGTTTGGATACCTAAAACTAAATAGTCATATATGTTTATATGCAGACCTGTCCCCAAGTGAGCATGGAGGGCAGTGTGTGGACTCTAGACAATGGATGCTCACATCACATGAAGGGTAACAAAAAGCTTTTTACAAATCTAACTTTAGAAAACCAAGGAAAAGTTTTCTTTGGAGATTACTTTAGTACTGAAATACTAGGAAAAGGGACAGTAGGAATTGTGCCATCCATAAGCAATGTTTTACTTGTAAAAGATTTAAAACACAATCTTTTGTCTATAGGTAAGATGTGTGGTAGTGAAAACCGAGTCATTTTTGAACATAATAAGTGTTATGTGGAAAACATTCTCACTGGAAAACCTATTTTCACTGGAAACCGAAAAGGAAAACTGTATACCATTGATCTCAGGGATAAATATGCATTTAATGAAACATGTTTGGTATTGGTTGACAAGAATGATCAGTTTGAGTGGCACAGGAGATTAGGGCACATTAGTATTGGCATACTATCGAAACTTGTTAACCTAGGAATTGTTAGAGGAGTACCAAAACTTTTAAGCAAGAGAGAATTCTTCTGTGATGCATGTGCTAAAGGAAAGCAACTAGGTCATCTTTTAAATCCAAAACTGTTATTTCCACCTCAAGACCTTTAGAATTGTTGCATCTTGTTTTATTTGGACCTAGTAATGTCATGAGTCTATGGGGGAAGTATTATGCTTTTGTGATTATAGACGATTTTTCTACGTTTACTGGGGTTCTCTTGCAAGCAAAGATGAAGCGTATCAAAACTTTAAGGAGTTTGTTAAAAGAGTTGAAAATGAAAAACAATCAAGAATAGTGAGCATAAGAAGTTATCATGGAGGTGAATTCATCTCTGAAAAGTTTGAAGGTTTTTAAAATAAAAAGGGTATATCTCATAACTTTTCTGCTCCTAGAACCCCTCAGCAAAACGGGGTGGTAGAAAGAAAGAACAGAACACTGATTGACATTGCAAGAACAATGTTGAATGACTATGGCATGCCAAAACAATTCTGGGGGGAAGCCATTAATACAGCCTGCTATGTCACTAACAGAGCTCTTATTAGATCAAAGCTAAATAAAACCCATTATGAACTTTGGAAGGATAGGAAACCAAATCTGAACTACTTTCACCCGTTTGGTTGTAAGTGTTTTGTTCTAAACACAAAAGGTCACTTAGGAAAATTCGATTCAAAGTCTGATGAATCAATCTTTCTAGGTTATGCTACAAATAGCAGGGCATATCGTATTTATAACAAACGGACCCTCAAAGTTGAGGAGTCCATCAATGTGATATTTGATGAATCTTGTGGCAAGTGTGCAGAAAATTTAGATGAGGATGATGACTTTGGACTGGGAATAGCAAATAAAGTTGACAAAACTCAGAATGCTTCAGAGAAAGAGGATGTATCACTAGAGAAGGAGAAATATGAAGGAGAGCAGGAGCAGAATCATCAAGCTCCACCTCATATAGCTCGACGACACCCTCCTTCTCTCATCATAGGAAATCTCAGTCAAGGTATGATCACTAGATCCAAACATCTTACTGGACACACAACATTTATAGCTCAATTTGAACCTATAAACATTGAAGATGCTATAAATAACGAATACTGGTCTGCTGCCATGCATGATGAAATGAACCAGTTTGCTAGACTCGAGTCTGGGACTTAGTTCCCAGACCTAAAGATAGAATCATTATTGGAACAAAGTGGGTGTTTCGAAATAAAACTGACGAATTAGGAACCATAATTCGAAACAAGGCAAGATTAGTAGCTCAAGGCTACTGTCAAGAAGAGGGAATTGACTTCGATGAAACCTTTGCTCCTGTAGCTAGGTTAGAAGCAATTCGTCTTCTATGTGCTTATGCTGCCTCTAAAGGTTTTAAACTGTACCAAATGGATGTCAAGAGCGCGTTCTTAAATGGTGATTTAAAAGAAGAGGTGTATGTCTCACAACCTCCTGGGTTTGAGGACTTTGAACATCCTGACTATGTATATAAACTCAATAAAGCACTGTATGGACTTAAGAAAGCACCTCGAGCCTGGTATGAAAAACTTAGTAACTTCCTATTAGAAAAAGGCTTTCGCAGAGGACAGGTTGATAAAACTTTGTTCATCAAAAATGAAAATGAAAATACTCTTTTGGTGCAAGTATATGTAGATGACATAATCTTTGGCTCAACAAGCCAGCAACTTTGTGCAGAATTTGAAAATGATATGAAAAATGCTTTTGAAATGAGTCTTATGGGAGAATTAAACTACTTCCTTGGTCTTCAAGTAAAACAAACTAATAAAGGCATTTTCATCAGTCAATCGAAATACTTGAACAATATGTTAAAGAGTTTCAACTTTGACAACTTAAAAGAATCTTCTACTCCCATGGGGTCCTCTGTTAAGTTAACCAAATATGAAGTTGGGAAAACAGTGGATATCAAGAAATTTAGGGGTATGATAGGGTCATTTCTGTATCTTACTGCTAGTCGACCAGACATCATGTTTAGTGTGTGTGTGTGTGTGCTAGGTTCCAGAGCAATCCCAAAGAGAGTCATCTTTCTGCAATTAAGCGTATCTTTCGATACTTAGCTGGAACCTCAACTCTTGGTCTCTGGTATTCTAGTAATTCCAGTTTAGATTTAGTCAGTTACACTGACTCTGACTACGCTGGTTGTACAGTTGATAGGAAAAGCACTTCTGGTGCATGCCACTTACTAGGTTCCTCCCTAATTTCTTGGTTTAGCAAAAAGCAAAGCTCAGTTGCTTTATCCACTGCAGAAGCAGAGTATATAGCAGCTGGTTTCGGCTGTACTAAGCTCTTATGGATGAAATCTCAGCTAGAAGATTATGGCATTCAACAAGGATCGCTCCTGTTATGTGTGATAACACTAGTGCTATCAACATGAAAAAGAATCCTATAGAGCATTCTCAAACCAAACATATAGAAGTTCGATACCACTTCATTTGTGACTTGGTACATGAAGAAAAAATTCATCTAGAATTCATAGGTACTGAACAGCAATGGGCATACATCTTTGCTAAACCATTACCCTCTGACAAGTTTTTACCCATTCGTCGAGAACTTGGACTGTTCTCACTAGAGGAGATAGAGGATATCTCTTAAGATTCTGTGCTATCTTGATTACCTTATTCACTCAGTCCTTCCTCCATTCCTCTTCCGATAAATCAGGCAGTCAGTCTCTAGCTATGACCGGTAAATGACACACCTTCCAAACCTGACCCATCGATTCCTTCTATAACTAGGGTAGTTCTCCCCTCTCACTTCATTCTCACATACTGATCCAAAAATCTTCCCCATACAATGGCCTTCAACAACTCTCAACTCCGCCCTGCTGTAGTATTCAAAAATCAAGGATTTCGCAGTACCATTGTTCACAATAGGTACTTGCGTTGTTTTCGAGATCGGTCCATCTATCCATCATTCACTATTCATCCCTCTGCCTTCACCAAGTATGGGATGGATATTCCATCCCTCCTTTCAGGGATTTGCTGGTCCTCTCTAAGTGAAGAACAATGCTTCCTTCATTGTCCTGAATCTGTCAGACAGTTTTATGTCAATCTTCGGCGTGGAAGGGGAGCTGGTTCCAACTTCTTCACCACTCTCGTGCATGATCATGAAGTCACTGTCAGCCCTGATCTTCTCGCCTCTGTCCTTGCTCTGCCTCACTCTGGCCTTCAGGATGGTTTTGATGATCAGTTTATCGAACTTGGCTTCGATTTCTTTACTGCTCTGAATTAATTGACCCGTGACATTGGGCGATCCTTTCCGACCCAGCTTGCTGCAGGGCGCCTTCCTGATGATCTAAAGGCCCTCCATTTCTTTATCACCAGATGCTTTCTTCCTCGTGATATATCCAGTACCATAATTCTCCACACCCCTGATCTCTGGATCTTGTCCAACGCTCGTGCCCGACAGCCTATAAGTTATGCCTCTCTTATGTTTGCACACATGATCAGCTTTGGAAACGGTAGCTTTAGTGGTCCTCTTCCTTTTGGTCCACTAATCACTCGCTATCTCCATCGTCTTGGAATAGATCTTCGCGACAAGATTTCTCTCTGCAATATCCATGATGATCTACATCCCAATCATGTGTTAAATCGACTAGATGCTGATGTTGGTAGTCGAAAGCTTGTCTCTGCCTCAGGGGGAGTAGCTGCTTCTATGTTCTCTGCAAATGATGACACCAGAGGATTAGTTGCAGGACTGACTCACGCTGCTGTTACAACAGTGGAGAATGAGATCAAACGTGGGAAAGAGGTTGGAAATGCCTCAACCACCAAACTTCAAGTGTGCAAAGAACGCCTAGAACTCTTGGAAGCTGATGAACCTATGCCTGCTCCAGATAACTTTGATCCTATATCTTCTGACTTGGATTCTGGGGATGATATCTCAGAGTACGAGTCACCTCCCAACTATCCTTTCTAGGATTCTGGTTACTCTTCGCAGGGGGAGCAATTGTTCTTTGCGTCGTAGTCCATCAAGGATTAGGTAGATGTGGTCAAGTGTGTTGTTAGTGTTCATGTGGTTGTGTTTGATCATGTGTGATTGTGCGTTTGTGGTGATTTAGAATGTGGCTCTTTTGAGTATATGATTGAATTAAATAAAAATAAAAGCTCCTTCATGCATTACTTTAGTCTTCACATATAGAACAGACTGCACCAAGTGTGTCTTAAGTGTGTGCAGAGAATATGGTTTCAGCAAGATGAGTCATTGACAAGCTTAGGGGGAGCATGTTGAAGGAAGCTTGTCAATGGCAAAGAAGGAAAGAATCAAGAAATCAATCACAACAAAAAGAGGCAAGTCTCAAGAAGGAAAGACACAGCTGATCATGGGAATCAATCCCAAATCACTCTCCAACGGCTAATGGCAGGACAAACAAGGCTATAAAACGTGAATGAAAAGAAGAAGCAGAGTGCGGTTTTTCCAGAGAACAAAAGTTGTCTGTTGTGTGATCAAATAGAGGTCTTTTGAGGGAAAAATTGTGAAACCAATTCAGGGAGATTTGGAAAGGGTCTGAGTGTAGAAACAGGGAGTGAATACATCATATCAGGTTCTGTTGGCTAGGCAGGGAGCTTGGCGAATTCTGTTTGCACTTGTAAAGAAGAACAAGTGAAAAATCTTAGTAGTTACGTAGGAGATCAAAAGGAGAATCTCCTACCGTGGATTAGTCGATATTGGGATACTTATTCTCCCAATATCGGATACCACGTAAAATTGCTACTGTTGTTCTTTTCTGTGTTTTTCTGCTGTGATATCTGTTTTTGTTGTTGCTAGGTTGAAGCTGAAACAGGGGAGTAGCAGTTTGAGATTCAGGGAAGACAGTCAGCAGCGGTGGTTGGGCTCTGTCCAATCTAGGCCCACTCGGTTCAAGGGTTAAACCAAAACCAAGAGATAAACTGAAGCCCAGCCCGAGTAAAAGCTTAGTTGGATCTTATTCTAAAAACAAAATACTAGTTCCTTTAATTTCAATATTTCCTTTTTCCTTTCCTTTTCGTGATTTCAACACTTGATCTTCTCTAGCTCGATTAGGGTTCTTACAGAAAGCTAGAAGAGAATAAATTCACAGAAACGGGAATCTGGTCTCGCGCTCGACCACCAACAGGAATTGGATGGATTGGTGATTTGAGGAAGAAGCAGGAGAGAATTGGGAGGGTTGGAAGTGAAAAGAAAAGAAGAAGGGAAGAGGTTGATCGGCCAAGGGAAAGCTAGAGAGAAGAAAGAATGGAAAAGTGATTAAGTGGTTGTTTATTCCTTAATAATCCTAAATGACTATAATACGTAGACTTATAGTCTCTTCCTCCTCGCAACTACCACAATAATCCTAAATCTCCCCCAAATATTCTCTATAATCTCAAATCCCCTAAAATCTCAATGAATATCCTCAAATAAAAATAATAATAAATATGACGTAATTAAAGTAACAAACTGCTAGCACGTCACCAATCCGTGCCTTATCAGTCTCGGCCGCTTCGGAACAACCTTGTCCTCAAGGTTGACGATCCGCACCAGCCTTGCTTGCCTCCGCCGCCACTTCTTCTGCTTCATCTTCAAACGTTCCAACCAGGAGCATGAGATTAGCATTGGCGTAGTGATGCCCGACGGTGTAGTACTCATCGCAGTTGTAGCATTTTCCATCTCTCCATTTCAGCCAAAGTAAGACGCACGAACCCGCCAGGCGGCAGACGTGGTCCTCCCCTAACCGATGTGACTACAACTCCCGTCGGTGGCCCGCCTCCATTTCCGGCCAAACCGGCTCCGAAAGCTACCCCGACTCCACCCTGCACCACCGTGCCCGCCCCAGTGGGTCTCGGCTGCCTCCCCAGGATCCCTTTGCATCCTACCAGCTCCACTTTGCCACACGAAATGTAACCCGCACAGAATTGGATTCAAACACTTTAACAGCAACTGCAATTTCCGATTTTAACTTAACGAAACACAAACCAACCAAGGATTCCTCTGACGTGTCATGCTAACGGGGCGATCTGGGACGGAGTTTTGGACGGAATTGGATGGATTTACTATTTTGTTATTCGCTCAAACCTTTGTTACCGAAACGTGCAAAATTAAAGGATTGTGACCGTTTTGTACAAAGTAAATAGGTTTGTGACCATTTATGATAACTACCCTTCATCGCACATTCACGACTAGTAAGTAATAATTTATTTTGTTTTACTTTTTTGAAACTTTTTTTCCGAACAGTTGTTCCACGTGTGTTTTTTAGGAATATATATTTTACAATTTGTCAAGATTGATACATGGAACTTGGAAGAGAGAAAGATCGAGTAGCTATAGCTAGGGATGACAATTTCGACCTGACCCGATTTACCCGACCTGTTTTGGAGCATGTCAAACCCGCCCCGTAGGCGGGGCGGGGCAGGCATGGGTACCTCTCATCGACCCGAGCTGCCTTGACCCGCCCCATTCTCGACCCGTTCTTGCCTATTAAATATAATATTAGTCAAATTACTTAGAATTTTCCTCTTATTACATTATATTTTAACTATAATAAAGTTGTAAATAAGTGAAAACCTCAACTTCTTCAACAATTTAACTACTTTTATCATATTATGGTTTCTTTCTTGACTTTTAATGAAAATAACGAATGTTTCTAATGTTTTTCGCATAAATTACATACCCAATGGGTCGACCTGCGCCGATCCGCGCCCTGTGATAAATTACCCGACCTGGACCCGACCTGCCATGGGGCGGGTATGGGTATCGAGATACCTGCCCCGGACCTGCCCATTACCATTCCTAGCTATAGCTAGCTTATTGGTTTCATTTCATGCTATTTAGTGGTGGGGTGGGCCGGGCCCAATAATAATTAGCAACTTTGAGAGGCAATTTTGGACAAGAGTTGTTGACACAGTTGCATGGAAGCCATTTCCAACCTACCTTTTTACCATCTCTTTGGCCCCACCCACCCATCTCACTATCACTAATTAGCAAAAGAACGTGACAATTTTCTTTTAATCACTAATTGCAATTTGGTCCACCCTGTTAAAAAGAAAAAAAATATCAATATTTAAACATTAATTTCCCCTTTCATCACCAAAAATAGGACCACTCTACTCTTTAGGTGCAACGAGAACAAAATAGATATGGTTGTTCATATCTGTTTATCTCTTTTCTGATTAGTTTAATTAGTTGGCCAGTCACAAAATCAGAAAGATTGTCAAAGTTCATTAAACAAATTTGTTGGTGTCTGTTTGGCCTCGTCTCAAAATGGAATTTGTAACATCTCACCTCAAAATAGTGTATGTTTTGGGTCTACCTCATACGGTTTTGCTTACGGGTATATCATAGTGGTTTTTAAAGGTCACTCATCTCTGAATGCTCCATACTAAACGAATTTAATTTGAGAGTTCTTATAATAATTCTTTCATTTCACTACAAAATTCGACTTGTAAGTTAATTACGATTGGATTGTTTCTTATAAATCATGAATCTCTCTCTTGTTTTGCCAATGTGAGATTTGTCCAAGTGTTACATACGCCCCCTTTGGGACTCAACATCTCCTTGCGGTTTTCTCCATCGTCCACGGAGAGACTCTGATACAGCTTGTAAAATCTCAAAAAAAAATTCTGACCAATATATTGTCGGTTTTGGATCTACCCCACACCATTGGTTGCCCCTCCTCTCAGATTGCTTGCCACCTAACTTTGTCTCGCAGGTAGTAGGTGTGCAGCCCCCAATTGCTGATGCAGGAGAGGACGTCCCCACTTGGTTTCCCGAGGAGGATGGACGATTCCACATCCGATCTGCTTATGCGATTGCCACCTCCTACAACGAGTCCACCCAGCAGACTGATTGGCGCACCATTTGGCGGTGGGAGGGCCCAGCCCGGGCAAAGCATTTTCTCTGGCTAGCGATACGGGACAGACTGTTGACCAATGCTGAACGCGAGCGACGCCATCTGACGACGGCCACAACCTGTCCTCGATGCAAGCAATCTACTGAGACAGTCCTGCATGTGTTGCAGGACTGCCCCTTTTCCCGGTTAGTATGGATGCAACTAATCCCTTTTTCTGAACACCAGCGCTTCTTTGGCAGTCCACAGCAGGTTTGGATCCTTGATAACCTCCGGCATCCGCACATCAGCCTCGAGTTTGGTATCACTTGCTGGGCACTTTGGCGGTCCAGAAACGATCTTGTCTTTGCAGGAAAGATTGTCCCACATGAAGCCTTCATACAGCGGGTCCGAGCTTGGTTACCTGTAGTGAGGAAAGCTCTGGACCAGAACAGGCTCATCCATAGGCCTAGTCCACCCGCTAGAACGGAGGAGCTGATCCACTGGAAGCCGCCTCCTCCCGAGTGGGTTTGGCTCAACTCTGACGCCTCCGTTCTCCCTTCATCAGGCCATGCTGCAGCTGGTGGTCTGGTTCGCGATCATTTAGGACGTTGCTTAGCAGCGTTCGCTATTAACCTGGGCACCTGCTCTATAACCCAGGCTGAGTTGAGAGGCGCTGTCGAAGGTTTACAGGTGGCTTGGGATGCAGGTCATCGCCGACTACTGGTTCAACTGGATTCCCAGTGTGCGGTGCAGCTGTTGCAAGGCGAGACGTCCGAAGACCATCCTTATGCGGCCTGCATTTCCCGTTTTCGAGAACTTTGTTCTCGCCCTTGGAGCGTGAAAGTGTCCCATATCTACCGTGAGGCCAATGTTTGTGTTGATTACCTTGCTAGTCGGGGTCTCTCTCTTCCCTTTGGTTTTCATTCGATCCCGAACTCTGATCCTTTGCTGTCTTATTGGACCTTGTATGACTGTCAGGGGGTTTCCATACCCCGGCTGGTTTTGAATGAAAGATAGGGTGCCTCTGCATCCATTACAAAAAAAAAAAAAAAAAAAAACTCAAATGAAAAAAAATCCTACAAAAGTGTTTTGTACCATTCCCTTACAAATGCAAGGTGACTTCCCTCCGTTTATGTCGGTTTAATCAAACAAATCAATGGCTAGGTCCTCTAATTTTCTCATAAAAATAAAAGTTGATTCAATTTCATACATGTTCAAATTCAAGAGATTCGGCCAATAAATGTTATCATTGTCGCATTGGCTCTGAGCTGACACCTTTAATTGGCTTCATACACATATTGTCTACTTAATTATTAAACCACCGATTTGTTTTCCACAAAGCTTGATTTAACAACGGCGGTTGAAATATCATGTCTTAATTCCATCAAAAGCCCAGAGCTCGTGCGTGTAGCCATCATATATAGTGAGTGCAAATGCAATCTTCTCATCTATTGCGGAAAATCTAGGTTGGGGCCGTGCGTATAGATAGTTCCAAGTTCTTGATTAGACACGGTGACCATTGTGTGTCAAATTTTGATTGTGCCTTTTTTTCGTAATCGTTGGTAATCCAATCTTGATAGTGTAAGAATTCCATACCAAAAAACAAAAAAGTCAATGAATAAGAGTTTGGGTAATATATGTACCTCAAATATTACTTTCTCACCTATTGATATGACTCGAATCAGATTATTTGTTGTCGATTGAAAGTTACGAAGTCTCTCATCAAATATACTGAAACTGATTCTCTATTATCCGTGGACTAACTAACACATTGTGTATGTGAATCATTAAATTTATGTGTTCTTTACTTTCTTTCATTGTCGGTTATCCCAATTTATTCTTGACACCCTCTCTCTTCACTAGATTATGAAATTAAGGAAATATATCTCTTTAGGTCATCCGCTCATATTTTCGAGACTATCCTTATCACTTGAATATTAGGCAAACCCCGTAGCAACCAACAATTGGTGGCCGTTAAAGGAATTTTTTCTCAAAATAGTAGGTTGTGAGAATTGAGTCTGAAACAATACTCGTAAATTTATATACTTATCACTCGAATAAGTATAGAAACATGTTGGCTAAACCGCAATTTATTGTTTGACGATGGAGATTTTCAATATCGAGAAACTAGGACTGCTAATTAATATGGAAATTATAATCATCAAAATAACGTCATCATATTCAATGTACACTCGTGTTGAGCAACCTCTAATTCAAGGGATGGTTTGAGATCGAGAACATCCAATAAATCCTATGTCCAAATATGTCACTCTTTTTAATTAACGTCGCAGTAATTAGCATGTAAAGCGATGCATATTTTGTACTACAATGTGATCAAACCCGTAGTCACCAAATAGACCCACACCTTGTAAGCAGGGGCCATGGGCGGAGCCAGAGGTATTGGGCACACCCCTAATTTTTGAGATAACGATTATCCAATCCTCGGTAGTAGATTTCGTGTGGATAAAAAATAAAAGTGGTAGACTAGGTGATTTAAATTAGGAAACTAAGATTATTAGTAAACATGTTTTTCATTAGACCACAACTCATTTGTTATTGTATTTTAAACACTAGTTTAATAGTAAAAATGATATTTCTTCTCCCAATTATTTTGAAAATCTAACAATTGAACCTGATTACGGGTTATCCTTATTCCCTCCATTCTATCATATCCATTGGTTTACTTGCTTTTCAAAGTAATTGATTTTACCGATTGCAACTGCAGGTGTTGAAATAACATATTTAGTTTTGGGAAACTTTAAGAACAAGTTTCGAAATTGATTAAATGATCAGTTTGTGAATGATTGTGTAGTAAGATGGAGATATTTGTTGAGCCGTCCAGACACTGAGTAAATTTTCTAACACGCCGCAGACTTTTGTTGTAACTTGTATTAGTTAGATATTGTCTAATTTAAAATTATTTATTTAATTTTTTAAAGATGACACCCTTATATAAATTTCCTTGCTCCGCCACTGTGTAAGGTGCATGATGTAGATCAAGGAGGATTCATGTTATCTCATAGGGGTGGCTATACGGTCCGGTCCGGTTAAATTGGCCCAAATTGATCCGATCCAGTCCGGTCTTTTTGAAAATATAAGGACCGAAGATTGGATTGGATACAGTCCGGTCTTGTTCCGGTTCGGTTTTGATCCGGTCCGGTCCCAATTTGGTCTTGATTTTACATTGAGATTGTGGGATTTGAGTGGCCTAAGGCCTTAAAGGGTGATGAGTTGGTTAAGTTTTGTACTAAGTGCAAAGGTTTGTGACCGTTTATGCAAATTACCTTTAAGTTTTGGGTGTTGAGCTCTCTTATCCGGTCTTTATCAGATTTTTTACCTCAAATCTAAGCCCAAAGATTGGATTGGATTGTTTACTATCCTGTCCCGATCCGGTCTTGGTCCGGGTTATACGGTCCGGTTTCCGGTTTTTAATCCGGTCCCGGTCCAAATATCTCACAAGTAATATAGGTATATGAATTTTTATCAGAAATTCAGATCTTCCTCAATAATCACCTTTACCAAGAAAGATAATATGTATATTGTACAGAATCATTCTGACATCTATGCAAAAGGAAGAAGAAAAGAAAAGAAAAAAAATGAAAAACAAATCTAGTTCTGACACACATTGACATAGTGGCACCATAATTGGTTGACCCAAGTGACATCAAATTACAATGGCTGCTGCTGTTAGCAAAGCTGGCCACACACCACTAGCCTTCCTCTCCCTCCCCCCCAGCTTTATAAATATGCACCTCCTCCTAGGGTTAGGGTTGCCATCTACTTACCCACCAACCACTTTGAGACTGGAGAAGCCATTTTTTCTCCTACCAAAATACTGTTTTTTCTCCCTTCTTTCTTTCCTTCACCCCATTTTCCTCACCAGATATATAAAAAAAGAAAAGAGACTTTCCTTTTCCCTTTCCCTTTCCCTGACTACTCCTTCACTCACTCCCACCAGCCTGTGGATCAAACTTTGACTCAGCTCCCTGATTGGGACTTCAACCCTTCCCTTATATATTCATTCATCCTTCCTTTATTACGAGAAAGACAAGTTCTACCTCTCTTTTTCTTCTTCCACTTTACTTTCCTCCTTTCCCTTGATAACTCACTTGCTTTCAGGGATTTTTTTTTTGTTCACCTATCGATCTACCGACGATGATGAAGAAACGGCAAGTGGTGGTGAAGAGATCGGAGGTGGGGAGGATCTCCACGACGACGTCGTCTTCGGTCATGAGGAGCGTCCGCTACGGGGAGTGCCAGAAGAACCACGCCGCCAACATCGGCGGCTACGCCGTCGACGGCTGCCGGGAGTTCATGGCCAGCGGGCCCGACGACGAAGGCGGCGGCGGAGGGGCGGCGCTCGTGTGCGCGGCGTGCGGCTGCCACAGGAACTTCCACCGGCGGGAGGTGGAGACGGCTGAGGTCGTGTGTGAGTACTCTCCGCCTAATAACCACTCCTCCAGCCGCCGGTAGAAAAAACCCATATCTCTTTATATATATATACTGTTGTCTGTGTATATATAATTCACGGCGGAGAGAGTTTGCTTGGCCGTGGTGGTGGTGAATTGGTGATTTGTTTTTGGATATGCTATAGCTTGTTGTTCTGAGAAAGAAAAAAAAAAAAAGAAGGAAAAAAGGGAGTGGGGGGAATTGGGTTATATTTACATGTATGGAGTGATACTATATATTTTACTTGTTATGTCTCAACCTTTTGAGAAATGGGGAACTCAAGATTGACTTTCTCTTTTGGTTTTATGGGATGGTACATGCTGTTCTTGGTTGTTTTTGTGTTGTGTTGCTGCCTCGAATAGTACTATCATGTTGATGTAGGGGGGTGATTAACATGTGTTGGGGTCATTTTTAATATGGTTATCCACTATTTAAATGATTAGAAATGTGTGACAGAACGAGTTAATTGTGTTAACGAGCTAATTGTTTGTCATATTAGACATGCTTATGCTTCAGACTTTTTGTAGTGTCTAGTTAAGTTGGGGATCTCTTGAAAACAAAGTTTTTTTTTCTTTTTTCTTTTGATAGACTTGAAAACAAAGTCTTATTATTGAATCTTTGCTAATTTTAAGGAATATTCTCTGTATGTGTCCTCTTAGCATATTAGCCAAGATTCAAGTTTCTCTAATAGCTTAATTAATAGGGTCCTTGATGATATTCTGAATGGTCAATTTCTCCCACATGTGTGGGGGAGTTGTCAACATTTCTCAGGTTGCCAAGACATGTAATTCCGTGTTCGCGAAATTGTACCGTACCGACACTCCGACCTGGAAATACCTTCTACCAGAATCTAAATCTGAGTTAAACCATGAATTTATCACAAAACATTATGCCACTAACTATTTTACAATTCTTGGCAATTTGTTAGAAAGAGATAGGGTAGGTATTTGTAGTACAAAGCTGATAGGCTAGCTAGCTATCTCTCATCTAACACAATCATGTTGAATCGCTTTGAACGAGTCTAATAATTTCCCATCAAGTCCCACAAATGTCCAATCATGCTCTCACCATGTCCCTTTAAATATTGTAAAGTAGACTCGTTTTTATATATTAAGTCATTGTTGGACGGCTGACTTATTTCACTAATTTAAAGCTACCCACAAAACCAACTTGATTAACTATGAACAACAGAAGTTATAATGTTCATGAAGAACTAAAGATCAGAAGAATAGCAACTTGCTGCCAATGGAACATAGAATAATATATCAGAACTTGAAAAAAAAAAACAAGAGAGCATGAGAGACAGTACATTACCACTGCTTGAAGTGGAAGCAATGTTTATTCTATTCACTCCCTCAATCTCTCTCTCTATGTATATATTTTATTCTCCAATGGCTTTGAGACATGTTGAATGGGAAGATAATATAGTTATATGCAGATGGGTGGTTGCCTGTCTGCTGCAAAATGATCCTTTTTGAGCAAAAGAGATATACTCTGCAGCTGGTGTAGTGGTTCTGTATATGTATGATTCTCAAAGTATGTATAGCTCATCAATATGAATAGATTCTAGATCGAGGAGGGAGACCATATATATGGGTAGCTGTTCTTTTGTTTTTGTTCTGTTTTCATATTATTGGATTCCTCATTCAAACTGATGAGGCAGGCAGCATTGCACGATTTACTAAGGACTTCACTAGTTACTAGGACGACTTAAACTAGTTGTTAGATTGTCAGTTCAATACACAGATTGTTGTTGTTATTATTATTCAATCAAAACCAAAAATCTATGACATGGGTTTTCGTCTTTTCGAGATGAATCTCGTCTGATCTTGTTATCCGTGGGTCAGATTACAAAAATAAATGCTTTTAATTATATAATCACTCATAGTTGACTGCTCGATGATGAGTTCAGAGAATACTGGTTCAAATCTCAATGTCGTCATTGTGAAGAATATTTACTATAAGATATAATCACTCATGATATTTAGCTAACTGGGGGCATTGAGTGATGATGGTCGAGAGATTGTTTGATTCAAATCTCAATATTGTCATAGGGAAAATGTCATGTCATGTATTGCACTAAAGAGGTTTTGGGGCTAATGGGGTTGAGAAGAAATATATAATGACTTTGAGGGACAAAGGCTAGCATGAAAAGATTGAATGACAGACGCATTGGGGAGAAATAGATAGTGGTCAGTTTGGTTTCTGTTTCTAAGGAGTGCCATAGTTACGTCTAAGAAATATGTCCACACACTTCCTGGGGATACAATCCAATCTCCATCATTATCATTGTGTACGGTGTCGTGAATCAGTTGGTACTAATAACTCGGAGAATATTAATTATGGAACTTATTCTACGCACGTATATGCCTCCTTAAACGAAATGAGACTTACAAACTTGAAGTTGCACAAGCAAATCATACTTTATGTTTTAATCAACTGTTGATATTGAAAGTCATAAAAAATTGAACATAGACAACCACTTATCTAAACCAGCTCCAATACAATGTCATAAACCTTCTTCTTGTTTCCCAATAGTTCAACCTCACTCTAATTTTACTTTTAGGAAGTCTATCGTACTTACCATCTTCTTGTAGATAATCCATGAAGACCAAGCTTTGATATATCAGTATCACACTTCTATTGACTAACTAAAACATGCATTGAATGGAAGAGTACTAATAGCAAACTTCATAGGCCACCATTCTATATATCTATCATGGGTTGATTTCATGATCGTTCTTGGTCCATGATATTTGGGAGATTTGACATTTTGATGATGGACGGTGATGGATTGCTTGAGCTTTACAGATTCTGATCCTTCATCCCAACGAATACTCTTTCCTACCTAGGAGCTTCTGTATCCATCCCAGTCTGTCTATAGCTGTATATATGCAGGATTGCTTAACATATGCACTCTAAGCAAAAGTAAAGTCGTTTCCAGATTGCTTTGTATGAATCCATGAAAGCTTTGGGCTTATGACATGGCAAATATAATAACTTAATCAAACTCAAAGAAAGATTTTGTTCCAATAACGTTGGAGAACAAGTTGATTCTAATAACTCTAATCATATACATAAAGAGAGAGAGACAATGGTGTAGTCAGAATTTTATTTAAGTGGAGCATAAAATAATTTTTGAACAATTACCCATGGTGTTATCTCATATTTCAATGAAGAAAATTTTATATCAACATGTTTATTGACAAAAAGTATAGCAAACTAAACTCACAAGCAAATACATAGATAGGAATCAATTTCCTCTTCCGACTATTATTATCATAGAAAGTTAATGATTTCCTCTAATAATCTATACCCTCTTATTCATTTTGATAAACTAGACTGTATTACTGCAGAAATTAGAAGATAAAACTAACTTATTGTTGAATTGTAAAATTTGACAATTAACATTAGAATTTGGAGTTCAAATTTCATTATTGGTATATTAATACTCCTAAGATTTATTGTATTTCACTTGAAAAAAAATATATTTTGAACTCGCTTCTTACTCTCTAGCTACACCCATGAAGAGACGCTCAAACTTGTATCACCTTTGTTGCTATCTCATTGAATCAATTTGTGTAAGATTGATCCTCTGAGAATAATAAAAATTGGTGGGCATGCCAAATGGGGAATTAGAGTAAGCAAAATATATCGAATCGATTCGATGGGTAACTACAGTGCTGGGGTCCGGTAGGGCGACAAAATGAGGCCTGCAGATAGAAGGTTGGGAAATTATGAGGTTTAGGATTCGCTGTTCGGAAAGCTAAAAAGGATTCTATCGGAGACAAGCCCACTTTCTAATGTTCCTTTTCGTTTTTTGTTTGTGATTTGATATGATGATATGAAATGAACGAATGAACAATGATGAAAGGAGAAGGCCACTTCTCTTGGCACCAGTTTCTATCTTCTTCTTCATTAGTTGTTTCGATGAAAAACATGATTGCGGCCTTTGGGCTCGTTTGTTTTGGTTTGGTGGGTGAATGTGCATATGACAGCACACCATAGAGAAATGAGGGTGTAGTACTGGTGTACATCAGTTGTGTTAAAGTCAGGCTAGGCTGGTATGCAACTATGTATGGTACTTACTTTGGCTCTTTTGGAACTTTTGGGTTAAATCCATTTTGGTTTTGGTAGTGAAGTTCTTGTCAGGATTGGACATTACTAATACATACATATTGTACTACTAGCTAGCTGGGAAAAAGGACATTTTATAATGTTTTTTTCTGTCCTCTTCGGATTTGGCATAACTTTTTCGAAATTTTTGTGTCGAGATTCTCCTTAACAATGAAACTACTAAACTGAACGAAGAAATAAAAAGGACAAAGGAAACATGACTTGGGTTCTAATCTTATGGTATTATTAACCATAGACAAACACATATATAGAGAGTTGCACAACCAAATTCATTTCCTTCTCACCCTTGGGTTGGTCTTCTGTCCTTTTCATTTTCCTACTCAAATTCTCATTTCTCCTTTACAAGAAACATTAAATAATTACCAAACAAGAACTAACACAACTCTTATCGAACAAGAACACCTATAACAAATCATTATAATGAAGCGTTCTAAAATAATACGAAAAACATAACCAGGGCGAACCCTGAAATGCAGGAAGCTCTGTTCCACGAAACAATTGTGTCCAAATTGTTTTAGTGTATCTATTAAAATTATAATTATTACATTAATCAATAAATAAAATTATCACATCGTCATTTGAAAAATAACATCATTCTAGCATTTTTTTGAAATAAAACTATCTCTGAGCTCATCAATTATCATATTGTCCAGGTGATCATTCTCAATTGGGGTTTGATAACGGACCTGAAAAAAGTAGGAAAGTCGATAGCAACAGATAGCATTTATATTTTAAGTAACAGATACATTTTTAAATTTTTATCCGTTGATCTTTGTTGTTTCTCAATATATTAATAATGCCAATAGGAAACTTTTGTTTCTAGACTAGTAATTGGACCCTAACTGTTGATCTTTATTTGAATTGATCATTTTGTTCCTTAAAAACAACAAGATAAAACGACTATAAAATGACCATGTTTTTGCTTACATTCTGAAATTTCATTTCTTACATGCGCTCATGATCATTAATTAGGCCCATGCGTGACGAGCCTCTTCTACATCATATCATCACCATACATGAAAGTTTTGTAAACATAGGATATGCATCTGAAACTAGAAAAGGATATGTGAACACATAAGACAAACAAATAAAATTGCACCTCAATTATAGATGATTGAGCTTTCATACCAACATTACCCATAAGAGCATCCATGCTACAAATTAAATATTCAAATTCGTACCAATAGAATGCTGTGAACGCTTTACTAGCAATTTTTTTTTACCAGATTCGCTTGATTTGATTGGTGCCAACTTGTTTGGGTGGGTATTATCGGCCCGTGGTATTTATTATCACCTTGATCCGCCGAGTATCAATCATTTTTTTTAAATACTTCAGTATATATTGATGTATGCATTTAAAAAATTCATTTTTGTATTATTGTCAAACCGTTTTATTTTTTGTCTATTAAATTGCTACCTTACTAAACATGTATAAAACCCATATAACACATTTAATAGCCGTATTTAGTTAATTAAAT